AACAATACTTATGTAGTCGAATGATGGTACATCCCTCTGAAAATGATTAAGGCCGAGTGTTTTACCCTTTTATCCTTTTATCTGAAAACCTCGAGAATCGAATGAATACAAGGTATGGGCGCCCCTGCACCGGAGTGTTTCATACTTTCGATATGTACAGAGGATTATTTACACAAAACTATAGTCTTTGAATTCGGAAGAATGAAGGTTGTATCGCGAGTGTAGTGCAGTGGTCAGTGTTGCTGTGTAATACACATCGGAACGGTCGTTGGTTCGATTAGGCCTCAAAGTTCCACTAAGCCTTCCAATTCTCTAGAATCGAAAAATTAGTAGCATATTTGACTAGGAAAATAAATACACTGACATAATACTTCGGGAGAGCACTAAAAGCTATTGTACAGGCCAGATATGCTTTCACTCACCTCTACTAGAATAGGAATTGATTCGAGTGCAGAGCGGTTCCTTAAACTGTTGAAGAACAGTGATCGCTTTATTCCTTTCTTTGTCCTGGATGTGCACTCGCTTAAACTCCTGCCATCGAATCAGATAGGAAAACTTGGTGAGTGAGGAGTCGTATATCTGATTCTCCAAATGATGGTGTTCTTGTCCTTCCAGCAAGCAGAATCCTGCGGTATCGGTAAACTACAGCAACACGACAAGGAGGATGCAAACGGAAAATGTGGACGCCGGGCCGGATCGAATCACTGTTACGCTTTCCGGGCTCTCGTATTACACGCTGCACCATTGAAGTCCTTGGTTTGCGTTTCCCTCAGCCAATTTTCTACCTAGCGCTGCCATCGGCCATGTTTTGCGAATATCTCAGCATCGTTGTGATTCTATTTCACATCACACCCTGCAGTGAAAAATTGTAGTAGGCAGCAAATAAAAGGTTGACATAATAAATTCAACAGTTTTTCAAACCAAGCAAGTTTTCCTCTCCTCAGGGTTAGATAGAAATAAATAAATAATATCATGAAAAACCAAATGGTATCTATAAATAATGCAAATGACATCTAGTTGATATCGGACCTATTTGGAAAAAGCTCCTTCCAATCTATGAAGACCTGCAGCTGTGAGAGATAAAGACATAGAGACGTCTAAAAGAACTATCCAGGAAATCTAGGACAAACGTGCTCAACCGACATTAGAAGAAATCCATCTTGATAATTACTTGAATGACCCGTCCTCGCTGGTTGTGCTGGTCCCAGCAAAATCTCCACTTTTTGGGAGATTTACTGGTTAAGTTATTGTGGTTCCCTGGAATCCCGAGCTCAGCCTGGCCAGTCTTCCCCAGGTCTTCACCACCACAGGCAGTTGCAGCCCTTGTGGATCAGAGGGAAATTTACCTCCATGAGACTTTAATACCAATACGGCGGTGTATCCTGGTATTGGTTTACTTTAAGCTGGGCTTCCTACTGGAAATGCCGGACTTCTCAGCATGGAAGGTTTGCTGGAAGGATGAATCCCACCACCTTACATTGCAGCCCGACACACAAAAAAACCTCCTAGCCACGATGAGGCGACAAACCACTGGGAGGGAAAGTTCATCAAAAAGACAAAAATCTGAAGCATAAGCTGAAGGGAAACGAAGATTGTTTTTGGTCCACGATTAACCCCATATCCTCCAACTTGGGACGCGCCACGTAGCTTCACGACTAACCGGCTCGAGGCTCGAGGTCCCTCATGTGAGGGAGATCCGTGGATAGCAGTAATAACACCAATAAAAGATGGTGGCATGTTTGACTTGATATGACTTTATTAGAGGAGGTTACAACTTCCAAGGAATAGAATACATCTAGCTTTCAGTGGGCATGGTTAATTTTCGAGTTTATAGGAAGAATTATAACTTTAGCCATGCTTGTTTTTTGTCATGGACCAAAACTTTTTCCATACCCCAAATGTTATAACACTACTTAAATATATTTGGCTGTTGGTTTAAGGCTTTAACTTTACCTTAAACTAAGGAAGTCTCTCGCTCCTTCGGAGTCAAAAAATTGGTACTAGACATGTTTGTTTCTGTGGTTAAGACTAGGAGACGCTCTACCGAAGCTGTCCAAGGTTTCCACAAGAATCCACTTTCCCGGAGCTCAAGGATATTCAAGAAAATTACCAAATCCTCAAGCGAGATCTGGATCTATAGAAATTAATCGACCACTATCGCGTATGACAGACGTGAGAAAGCAAATCAACCGAATCAAGAGCTGGGATCCTCACAGTAGTTGAAGGCAGGTCAAGTGAACAAAGAAAATAAGTATGCAATACCATTATATACCACCCAGAAAAACAAGGGGGATTTAATGCAATGTAAATTTTGCTTTTTCTTTTATTCCTCTTTCTTCTCTTTTTTCCCCTTTCACTCACTAAATTAGTGCTTTGTCGATATGTCGAGGAGCATCCATGTTCAACAGTCATTAAAGAACCTTCGCCACTAAAAATTGGAACATTGCTGCAACATTTATTTATATGATCTTATAAGCTGGTCTTCTTTGGCTGCTGGGAGGTTGGCATAGGTCTTCGTTGTCGTTAACGTTGTTGTTGGTGTTGTTGGTCGATGACTGACATTTCGGCGATTTCGCCTTCCTCAAAGCCTGGACATGTTTTCTATTAGAATAGTTTAATTATTCGGTGGAAAGAAAAGGCCAAAGTATTAATGAGGATCAAACTTTCAAATAGACGCCATATTGAACAGAAAGGCCACTCACCGTGATGTTACGTGTGGGACTGGAACTGATAGTTCACGCGGGGTCGCGAGCAAGACACACCCTGGGGTCAAAATATCATTTTGAAATAGGGTGCCAGGTGACGCGTGATAGTGAGGCATTCGTCTTCCCGGTTCATCTTTGGATTTTTGAAATATATCCAAAACGCCCCAAGAGTTTTGCGCGTTGATGTTTTTGATTCCTGCGGTGAGATCCGCACCGTCACTTCAAAATCATCGCCGTTGTGCTTTTGTTCCCTATGCGTACCTAGAGAAGTGTTTAGACGGATTTTAACTTTCCCATGTAGATGTTCTTTTATGCGGACACAAAGTAGTCTACCCGTTTCCCCAATATATTCCTCGCCGCATTCGTTACATGAGGTCAAGTATATTATACCTAAACTCATGCAATCTCCGTCTCTCCCGTTAGGACAGATCATACAGTTTTCTGAGCTGCACAAACGATCATAGAGACGGTTTCGAACTAACTGGCGGCGTAGGGTATTGGGTGGGATGTCAATAATCGTTACATAATTTTGAAGACCACTTTTTCTTAAGTACTTTTTAATGGCGTGACTTACTTCATTTGATATGAAGGGCAGCTTAAAGGGGATCTTACATAGATAGGTCCGAAACATTATTTTAGGGAACTACCCTACGTTTTTGTGTAACTCGAGTGGCTTCCACTTCGTAGCCATTGGAAATGGCAATTTTTCGTGCTAGGCTTTGCGACTCCTTCCTTTTCTCTTCTCCTGCACACACATTTTTAGCCGTCCCATAGATGTTTTTGATAAGTGCTTTTTTCATATGTGAAGGATGAGAGCTAGTGAACTGGAATGTTTTTACTACTTGGCTTGCGATACCATCTGCCTACGAGTTGTCCACGTGGGATGGCGAGCAGGACACACCTCGGGGTCATGAAATCATTTTGAAATAAGGCGCTAGGTCACGTGTGATCTTGAGGCATTCGTCTTTCCGGTTCATCTTTGGGTTTCTGAAATTTATGCAAAACGTCTCGAGAGTTTTGCGCGTTGATGTTTTCGATTCCTGCGCCAGGATCCGCACAGTCACTTCAAAATCATCGCCATTGTGCTTCTGTGCCCAATGCGTACCTAGAGGAGTGTTTTCACGAATTCTAACTTTCCCATCTAGATGTTTTTTTATGCTGACACAAAGTTGTCTACCAATTATGTAACGATTGTTGACATCCCACCCAATACGTCCTACGCCGTCAGTTAGTTTGCGACCGTCTTTATGATCGTTTGTATCGTTTGTGCAGCTAAGAAAACTGTACGACCCGTCCTAACGGGGGAGACGGGGATTGCATGAGTTCAGCTATAATATACTTAATCTCATGTAACGCATGAGGTGAGGAACATATTGGGGAAACGGGTGGACCACTTTGTATCCGCATGAAAGATGGAAAAGCTAAAATCCGTTTAAACACCCCTCTAGGTACGCATAAGGCACAGAAGCACAACGGCAATGATTTTGAAGTGAATGTGCGGATCCTAGCGCAAGAATCGAAAACATCAACGCGCAAAATTCTTGAGGCGTTTTGGATAAATTTCAAAAATCCAAAGAGGAACCGGAAGGACGAATGCCTCACTATCACGCGTGACCTGGCGCCCTACTTCAAAATGATATTTTGCCCCCGGGGCGTGTCATGCTCGCGTGAACTACGTGTGGGCCAGTCCCGCACGTAACATCGCGGTGAGTGGCCTTTCTGTTCAATATGGCGTCTATTTGAAAGTTTGAAAGTTTGATCTTCATTAAAAGTTTAACCTTTTTTCACCGGATAATTAAAATATTCTAATATAAAATACGTCCAGGCTCTGAGGAAGGCGAAGTCGCCGAAACGTCAGCCATCGATCAATAACACCAAAAACAACGACAACGACAACGACAACGACAACGAAGATCTGTACCAACCTCGCGTCAGCTTAAGAAGATCAGTTTATAAGATCACATAAATAAATATTTTTGATTTTTGATCGTTGACGCAGGTCGGAGCTTCGGATCCCATCCCTTGCTTGTGTGAAACGGGATACTCCTGGCATCGTCCTTTCGACCGCGCTTTCGTAACGCTAAGTGATCTTTCATCCTGCTTAAGCAGCGACCAAGTTTCTGACGTGCAAGTTAGGGCAGGTTGTACTGTTCAGTCGAAAAGGTGGGCATGGAGCCGGGTGTTCTTTGTTCTCTTCACTACATCCTCGATGCTCTTGAAAGCTCCCCAAGTCGCTCGTTTCCTTCCGCTCAGCTCTGGAGCTAGGTCGTTCATCATATTGATTACCCGACCTAGTTAGATATAAGCGGAGCGTTCGGAGATATTCGTTCCGTTGAGCGTGAATGGAGCATGCGAAACCAATCCGTTCCTCATGAACATCGTTTTTGTGAGATTTAGTCCAAAAACAATCTTTCCACAGGTTTTAACAAAGTCGGCAAGCATACGTTCCGCTTGGCTAATGTTTGGTGTTATATGGAGGATGTCATCAGCAAAGCGAAGATGGCGCAACTTCCGATCATCGATTTTCACTCCCATGTTATCCCATTCCAATGTTCGCATGACGTTCTGGAGTGTGGCGGTAAATAATTCTGGAGACATGGTATCGTCCTGCGTAACTCCTCTTTTGACGTCAATGTTGATGTCGTTGTAGAATGGTGATATCATGGTTGTGAAATTTTTGTACAGCTCACGAAGAATCTTTTTGTACTGAGTAGGGACTCCTTGCATATCAACGGCTTCCATG